CAATGCTTTATGAACTTCTCTCCTATGAACTTGTTTGTGCCCCTCTAAATGAATTTCAGTATTTAGCAAACATTTACATAAATCTAACAAGAATTATGTCATGAAAACATTAGTGCATTATTTCCCAACTGTAAATTATATACATATATATATATGAAAAATATGGAAGGACAAAAAAGAACAGCAGATCCAAATACATTTGATCTGTTGAAGCAAACAACTTGCTCAAACTACAAAAAAGACTTGTTGACCTAGGAATTTTTTAAGGAATTTTGCAAAACCACAAATGTGGGACTTTACATTTCAGTAAATATAGAACACCAAGAACTTAACTTACCTTTGCTGTATAACAGTTTCCTAGCTACAGTTACTCTGGAACAGAACAGAGGCCTTGAATTTCTCATGTCCTTAGTACTCTCCAAGAATCTTGCTAAAACAGACCTCCACTATAATACTGCTCCTTTATATAAGCATAACACAGGTCTATAGTCTGAGATTATCTACTCAAACATGTATCTATTTTCCTTATAGATTTGAAAGCATTTGTTTCGTAGCACTAAGTGTTATTAAACAGAAAGGTTCTTCCTTGGTCACAAAGAGAATCTTTGGAAAAATAAGGAAATAAATCACTGATTTTCCAAAATGTAGAAAAGCATTCTCACTTATACAAACGACAAATACAAAATTTGACTACCACAACTCAGTATTAAGTACAGAGCACTTTACATGTTGAAATATAGATGTCCCATTAAAAAAAAACTAAAGCATGACAATATTTGACATTTTGCTTAATATACTCAGTTCACTTTCATGCCTCTAAAACTTATCACCTATGTGAATTTACCTTCACATAATCTTTTGTTTTCAGAGCATTCAGAAGATCTCGCACTGGGGCTGACAATGCAAATTCTGCTGCTATTTCAAGGTCCTGCAAATAATGATAAAACCTCCTGAAACATTGGCAGAAATGAAATGACAACATTCCAATAAATCATATTACACTTGCACAGCCATTAGAAAATAATTATTTACATACATGTTAGTAAAAAGAACACAAATATTTGCAAGCAGCTAATAAATTGAACTAACAAACAACCTCTCATAGCCTGAACTGAAGAGATGGTTACTAGGCTTCAAAAAAACAAAATGATGCTTCACTACTCACTACTGCACACAGAAATACAGTGATACAGTCTATGGAGCCTTGCATTTACCAAGTTTGCATTCTAAGGAATAAAATACATCGTGCATCTGTCAGAGGTAGAGAAACATATGTAAGCATTTTGTTATTATTAAGACAAAAGTTTTAATACCTGATTTCATCCGATGCAGTGCTGTCATCGGCACTGGCCCAAAATTCATCACAACCATCCGATGCAGTGCTGTCATCGGCACTGGCCCAAAATTCATCACAACTGTCTTGTAGTCCAGAATCTAAAAATATTCCTGTAGATTTCAACAGCATTCCTGCAATATCACTGTTGAAACAGAAATGGTGGAACTTCAGTCTTATTGATGCAGCATGGCATCTTAAATGTCTTTCTTCTTAATGCAAGAGAGCTGTTGCCAAGTCCAAGTACAGAAACAAGCAGCATCTTGGGGCCCACAGAAGCCACCTGCACCTACTGCATCCTACACCTACAGCCACTGCAATAATCCATACATTCACAATGACTACCAGCTGCTTAATGACATCCCAGGAAGTCCCATATGGGAATCCCAAACAAGTGCTGACTTGAATACCCCTCTGGTATAAAACAACACCATAAGCAGAGGAATTAAAACCTACCAAAACAGTTTTCCAGCTTGAGCTTCACCTCCTCTTATATAAGGAGTTATTTCTTTGGTGAAATTCCATTCCTCCTCTAACAGATTTTTTAAACTATGAGATGCTTGAGGTAACTGCTGCAGCATTTGGATCCAGCTTCGCATATAATCAAAGTAAACCTTAAACAGAAATTGTTACAAAAGGTGTTAAGGACTAGAATCTCTTAAATCAGCAGACAAACTCAGTATTATACAATTTTTAGAAGGTATTTCTACAATAACTTTCATTTGCTCCAACTGAAAATTAGCTCCATGTTTTCACACAAAAAGTGCTATTTATGGCTCAGCAAGTATTAAATTCTATGTCTCCACAATACCTTCCTGAGAACACTGTCCACCTCACTTGCTGTGCTGCTATTTACCACTGTATTAGTGAATACCCAGAGTAGGCATAGTTTTTAAAGCTGAACTGCTGAAAAACAGTCTCTAAACCTTTTCTTAACTGGATTATGACAAAAGGTTTCATCTGAACATATCCTCCTGGATATGGATAAGTGCTGTGAAAAGCTTCCTGAGATTCGCTTTGTGTTCCTTTATATCAAGTCTTATCGCTCACCTTTATTTAATTACTACTGTTTTAAACCAATATAAAAAATCCAGATAAATGCAATTTTTCTTCAACCATCTATCTTCCCTTCAGGATTATATTGCATACAAAAAATCATCTGCAATTTATTTCAGTCCAATAATCCATAACATCCCTCCTCAAAAATGGTTAAGATACTTTCTATAGGTTTCAGGTATTTTCAGACTACACTGTAAAACTGCCAAGATCATAGAATCATAGAACACTTTGGGTTGAAAGGGACCTTAGGGGTCATCCATTTCCAACCCCCAACCTTCCCAGAGGCCAAGAGTTTTTCTTAGAAAGACTTGTTTAACTAATTGCAACAATGAATATACATTAAAAATACGGTATCAATTATGCATTAATGCAATGCCAATACAGTAAGATATAATGTTAATCAAAAAAAAATCATAATTTATTCAATATTAAAAGGTTATTAAAAGTTCAGTTCAAACTTATGTAATTTACAGTTCTATATAGGAACCATTTTTGGTCAATACAGCCAATTTACAAGTATACTGTACCACAGGAAAAAAGCCAGTACTGCCAAAACAGCACTGGCCTCTGTGTTACCTTTACAAGTCCCTTAAAACAATATAATTGTATCAAAGTAGACAAAGAAAAAAAAAGGCAACCATCCCTAAAAGGGACAACAGATTTCTATTAGCAGTATTCAGATTAATGCACTTACTTTAACTCTCCTTTCTGAAGCTTACCATTAACATTTTATGCAAATCCTCTTCAAAAGAATCAATGTTGCAATCAATCTTTTGCAAGTCATCTAACACTTCCCGTAACATGAACTGGTAATATTGCTTCATTAAGAGTCCACCCTTCAGAACTTCTTTACATTCTCTCACTAGCTGCAAGAGACAAACCCCAAAACTGCTATCAGTCAATAGATTACTCTGAAATTCACCCCTTGTCAGCCCAGTTTGTCCAAATACGCTAGTTTGTCACTAAATAATTGCTACAGCTTCTTGAAACAAATACAGCTGCTCTACACATCTGCAGGAAAGACATCACTGGTTTTCCAGGATTATTTAATGGCCATGCCATTATTTGCCACATCAATATAAAGAGAGATGGAGGCAGATGTCTCATACATACTCCCTGCACAATGCCACAGCAAGCAGCTTACTGGACAATTAGTTTAGAAAGGGGCAAAAGGGCTCACAATCATGAAATCACCATTTTCAATGGAAGCAAGTCAGGAAAAATATGCAGTGTGTTTAACATATGCTTAGAGAAATGTTTTGCTACAGTGAATTCACTGCCAATCTCCTGGTCAGGTGCCCTGGGCTGGTTTCGCTGGTGGTGGTAAACCACTACATGCCCTAAATTCCAAAATCCACACCAGACCTGAAAGCAATTAGTGTTATTTTGTTGCTTCCCTGGGCAAAGCTAACATGAGAAAAGGTCTCTTTTCACTGCAGAAGGGGTTGCCTTTGGAAGAGCTGTCACCTTTCCCTGAAATATTAGCCTTTATCTATTTCAAGAGACATGCTCAACCACAGGTACAGGAGCACACAACGAGCAAGGATCATTTCAAACCCACACTAACAAATGCCTTTCTTTCAGAAGCCCTTCAAGTGCTAAGCGTGTATTCTGAAATCATCATCAGTCTTCAGGTTTGACAATCCCTGATCTTTTCTGAGGGTCAGAGGGAATGGAATTGCTAGCTGATTAATATCCTTTTTAGAATCTTCTATAATGGCTCTCCTTGCAAAGTAATATATCAATACAGTAGACTTGATATATAAGAAATTATAACGGCACAAAAGCAGAAAACATACGAGAACGATATTAGTATGACAAGAGTCTCTGGAATCCTTTACAGGCCAGAAAACATTATGTTGTGCTCCTCAACATGCAGAGGAAACAAGGATAATACTCTGAACTCTACAGTTTAAAATTTACCAAGTTAGGTGGAAAAGGGTAAAAAAAGTAATTTTTTAAAAGGTGAAAATCCAAAAGGACGCTTTTATACCCCTAACATGTCATATACCTTAAAATTAATATCTTTCTTCTCTCCACTCAATCACATCCAGTGTACTTGGTGTTAACCTATGCAGCTTTTTCCCCTTCAACACATGTCCATTCCATAATAAACTTGAAAAACTTTATTAAAATTGGATAATTTTAAGTTTTTTAATAATACTCTTTCATATGGGTATGCTACTGAGTAACAGAATATAGGATTTACAAAAGCCAGTGGAGCTAATCCTAGTGTCAGCTTTTGAACGGAAAATTCACAAGGCAGTAGCCAAACAAAATTTTGGTGTATAATGAGCACATGAAAGAAAATACAGGCTAAACTGAAAATATTATCACTATTATTGGTTTGATGGATTGCTTTTATTTAGGTAGTTTATACAATAAATTGTTTCCTCAAAGCAGGTGGAGCAAGACAAACAATACCAGATTTAACAACCAAACAGCCACATGCACATACAAACATCCACCTCTGAACATGAATGCTTAATTTTAGAACCAGCTTGAACTGTTCAGGTACTAAAATGCCCTTAAAAGAGAACAGCTCTCTCCAATAACATAGGATTATCAGGATTAAAAAAGCTAGCACTGAAACTGAAACATGGACAGAAAGGAGGAAGGCAGCAAGAAAGGATAGGAAAAAAGGCACATTTTAAGAGGCACATCATCGGTGTTAGTTTTCTTCTTGTGTATATACTTTTTATTGAAAATCAGATTAAATTTTTTAATACAATTGACTTGCTAGTAATACAACAATTTAACATCGCCTTGAAAAAGTTGAGTAACAAGACTAGCATACCTGATACACTCACACAGTACTGCTACATATTTCAAATGGTACCAAAAAGCAAGAGATACTTAAAGGTCTCAGTACCTCCAATAAGATTTACTAAGTCAATCACTACAAAAATCAGACTGCACTGTGTTACTTGCATACAAAGAACAAATCAGGGACTGGGTTTGTTCAGCCTTGAAAAGAGACTATGCAAAGGGAATTTAATCACAGATTTGCAATGCCTAGAGGGCAGCTGCAGAGAAAAGCAGAGCAGTAAAGCACTGGCTCTGGCCTTCAATGCAGAGAAAGCCAAAGCATAACAGCCTACCCAAAAGACCATCTTACAGAAGGAAATGGAGCAATGCCACTCCCAGAACACTGTGCTGCAGCACCAGCTCTCCTTCCTGAATAATACCTTGAAAGAATTGAAAAATCTTATGTCTGCAGTTAAGATGGCCCAGCTGTCCTGAGTTGTGTACAAGTTCTGCATCCCTGTCCAGCAGCCAGGAGAGCATCATGACTGAAGATAACTGGGTTGATCATATTTCAGATGGTCAGCTTCTGAGGGTTAGAGCGTGTGATGCAAGACATTGATGAGGTCCCCTCTCAGCTGTCTCTTCCCAAGGCTTAACAGGCCCTGTTCCCTCAGCCTTTCCTCACAGGAGAGAAGCTCCAAGCCCCAAATCATCTTTGTCCTCCACTGGACCCAGTCCAGGAGCTCCATGTCTCTCTTGTACTGAGGAGCTCAGAACTGGAAACAGCAGTCCCGGGGACAGGATCACCTCCCTCAGCTTGCTGACAATGCTCTGATATGGTAATAAAACAACCTAATTTGGGAATCAATCTAATTGTAGAACCCAGCTTCCAGAAGGTTGGACTGGAGTATCGCTAATCCAGTCCTCTCTGTAATTCTGTAATACTCTGTGAACTTGCAGAAGAACACAGACTCCTGGATTCTTCTTTTGTGCTTGCTCAAGATTTTAGGAATTAAAATTTTTCAGGAAACAAACAGATGTATTTGTGAAACATCCTCCACAGCTCCTTTGCCTGTTTAGAAATATTGTATGGGACAAGAAGAATTTGCTGAACTGAATTCATTTTTTCAATGTCATTAGAAAGGCAGTATCCACCACCAAAACAGTCTGGTACAAACACATTGTTTTCCAGGAAGAAAGTGTAATTTTTACTTAACTTGTGAGACCACAAGGAGCACACAAAATGTTAAGCAGGGGAAAAAAACCAAAATCACCCCCATCTCTGAAGGACATAATGTGCTTAACAAGAGAATATGCTATGCAGTGTATTACTCTATGACTGTTAAGGTTGAAATTGTAGGTTTCAATCAATGGGGAGAGTGCAGTGGGGGAAGGAAGACAGTACAAATTTATCTGGGACCACAAAGTAGCATAGATTTATAGGATCATAAATAAAACATAGGATTTTGGATCAGCAAATAACTAGAATGTGAGATCATAATCAGTCCAAGAGCTTATTTAGATGTTTACTCTTGGAGATCTTCTGATAAAACTCTGACTTGGTTATACTTGCCAGGATGCAGGGAGATGGGATGAATTTAGTAGGTCCTGGACTATACTGTGAATACTGGCATTGATCTAAACAGCCTTTATTGTACCTGATAGCCTCCAGAAAAATAGTCTTTATACAATATTCTCAACCAGTGACAGGACTGACAATCTTGAGTCACTGCCCACAGAAAGTAATACAATAGGCTGGAGAAGATTTTTTTATTTCATTTTTCTTCTTAATTTACTTTTACTATGTGATACTGCATGTAATCAGATGTCCTACACTCACCTGAGAGAAAAATCAAATCAAAGAGAGAAATACAGACCCTTAAAACAACTTGTATTACCCAAGAAACCCAAAAAGAGGAAGATTTGCTAGAGAAGATTATATAGCTTATAATGCAAATGGAATCAATGCTGTTGAATTTTGTTGGCTAATAATATTTTTAATCACCAGTTTTGATATGGAAGCCTAAATCAGAGAGCTATACACAACCATTTATTTATTATGCAAAAAGCAGATCTCCATATGAAATACTAGACTATTTACAAAAATTGTTACACAATTATACATTGTAATTTCTTACATTAATCCTCTTTAAAGTGACATGGTATCATAATGAAATGACAAAATATTTCAAACAGGAAATATGTATTTAAAAAGCAATTGAAGCAAACCTGTTTAATACTCAAAAGAGATGGTTCCCCAGCAGGTCTTTGTTCCAACCTCAGCTTGAGACATTCATGGATAACATTGAGCAGGACTCGGCAGAGAACCAAGAATGCAGGTTCAAAAGATGGCAAATCCATGGATTTCAACTCCTCCCATGATACAGCACTGCATTTTTGCTCGCAACAAGGTGGGAAATTTAGTAACTGCACATAATCTGAACACAACATGGGATCTGGAAATTCTGAAAACTAACAAAAAATAGGTATCATGAAAAGGATCCTTAAAAGTCTTTAGGATTTTGGATTTGTTTAAAGTAGCATGCACAGAAGTATGTTTTTAAAAGGTAATAGTCTATTAGCTGGCAAGTCAACCACACAAGTTTATACCATTGGGGGATTTTTAACGCTAACTTTTTTTGTAAAGGATCATCAGTCTCAGGAAAAACAACTATGGACCACTGGGAATAAACAAAACCACTTGCATTATGCTTCTGACAGAATCTAGAGAACAAGTGTACACTAAGTAAGCTACATCAGGTACATAACCTCGTTCCTTTTGAAATACATAATACATATATTAACATAAAACTCCACACTGTAAATGAATGCAATATTCAAAAAAAATGTCACTAGCTAAACTAAGCCAAAGTACTGTAAAATTAACTTTTGAATTTTGGTAGATTTTAAATTTAAACTGTTTAAAAAGAAAGATGAAATATAAACATCAAGCTGGTTTGTTGTTTTGGGGATTTTTTAATAATAAACTTACTTTTCATTCAAATTAAGATTTCATTTAAACAAAATTACTTTTCTAATTAGAGAAAATAATTGAGATGCTATGAAATAAACACCCTAGAAATCTAAAACTATATACCTTGTGATAACATTCTAAGCAAGGCTGTACATGGAGGTACTCTGGGGTTTAATTTAGAAAGAAAAGTTGGACTTCAGAACATGGGTAGCTCCTAAAGATAGCAATACACTGTTTATCATTTAAGGATGATTTGTTTCAGATCAAGTTTGTTTCATTCTTATTTTCATTTCTCAGCTGCTAACCAAAGTTCTGAACATCCTTCAGTCATATAGTAGACATAACTAGCATTTTCTAGGCTTTTCTTCAGCTCAATTTAAGTAACATCACTACAAAAGGGAAAAAAAAATTACCAGTAATTAGAGTATGATAATGATAAATTATAAAACTACCACCTAGAAAGTTTAAAACACCTTTTAAACTCATAATCTATCAGAAAATGAAAACACATATTTTAAAACATATCTTCTTAGATGAAATAATGTCTTCTTTTTACTCTCTTTAAAACGAAGATACAGCACCAGAATAGCATCAGGGCTAAAGATTTTTACACAGTATGTTTTCATTAACAAACAGATCATGAAAATACTACACTTCCACAGTACAACAAAAAAAAAAATAAATAAGAAATACAATCCCCATGGTGATGCAAAGACAGTTTGGGGAAATTCAGTTCTTATAAAAATATTAAAGAACTAGTTTATGAGCAAAAATAACACAGCCAAATTGATTAAATCTGTAATATCCTTTTCTAACATCAAGGATAACAGAAAATGGCTTAGTACTTAGGGCTTAGTACTACACACCTAGACTTTAATTGTCCAATCTGACTAATCTTAATCTTCTGCAGGCTCAATCTGAAATGTTTCAAATACTTCTTACAAAAACCTCAAGAAAAACTCTAAGCCATTTATTGAGATCATACAAAAAACCATACTCAAAAGTGCAGCCACTTGAATAAACAACAGGGTACACAAACTTAAATATGTTCTATTAAAACAACATCTGATTTCATACACTAAAGTTAGAAATATTATCCATCTTCACCAAGAATGAAATTGTACAACTTCTACACACAATCAACTCTATAATGCCTAGAGCCCTGTTAAAGTATCAGAGCCTATAGAGGAATCAAACATGTTTTAGAAAACACCAAGACCAGGAATATGTATAAAGATTTACACATATTTAGGATGAAATGAGCATTAAAATGCATACAGTGGAAGAATTCAGAAAGCACATTTTAGATGTGTTTTAGATGCCATTGAAGCAACAACAGAAACAAAAGTATGTCCAGAGACTTAGAAGTGTAAGTATACACATAAACACAGAGTCAAGTTACAAAAGTAACAGAAATAATAAAGATTAACAGAATACTAACAATTCTGTCTGCATACAAATATCAAACTGAACTGCACTAAAAAAAAAAAAGACACTACATTCAATGTATTGTCAGGTGCAAAGACCAAGCAATTGAAACCCATCTCTTCCATTTTAGTATAAAGTCATCTTTTGCTGCAGTAAGTACCACAATTCTGACAGAGTTGTGTTATTTTCTGATAACATCCTTTAAATTTTGGTGCAGGAAAGAAGTTTACAATTTGTAACATTCACCTTTACTAAACACCATCTCTTAAAAGAGAATAATACTCCAAATAAAAGGTAATAATTACCAAAAATGAACATTCAAAGTAGTCACAAGGGTAGAAAAGGGAGAAAAGATGAACCTTACATCTTAGACAAAGCATCCAAAACT